ACCACAGGCGGATCACTACAAGTCTGATCTATGCAGTGAGACCCTGTAGACCCTGTACTGAATACAAAAAAAAAAAAAAAAAGTATAATGGGTAAATCCATCATGATAGTTTCAAGACAGAAAATAAGTTTACCATTTTTTAAAAATGCAAACTAGATTTCAGATGTAAATACAAAGGAGAAAGTTTTGGAAAACAACTAGTAGGACAAGTTTTACATATATCTGATGATTTTCTTTATAAAAAAATCCTTTCAAATAAAATTTCCTGTACAAAATAACTTCTGTTAATACAAGCAATTTCTATAATTTTCTTTCTCCAGTGGAGTAACGGATTGCCCTCTATAAAGGCGTAAGTCACAAGGAAGTCTGAACAGACAGGAGGGGACAGTAACCATGACTCAACAGAACCCATACTCGCTACTGCAGAAGCTGCAATGCACACTCCCTCTGCTGTCACCAGTGCCCCCTTCTTCGCTGTGTACCAGAGCAAGGAGCTCATGGTTCTAATGGAACTAAATATATGGTCATCAGGGCAGTGACTAAAGAGATGATAAAAATTCATAAAATTTTGGCTGAAAATAAATTTTTTTGTAAAAACTTACTTTAGGAGTTGGGCATGGTGACACACACCTGTTATTACAACACTTGGGAGGCGGAGGCATGAAGATTACAATGAGTTCTGGGCCAGCCTGGGCTACACAGTGAGATTAATGCTAGTCTGAACTGTATAGTGAGACCCTATCTCCAAAAACAAAACCACAAAAAAACTCATTTCAGAAATTTCAAAAAAAAATTTAGTTGAATTTCCATGGGAAACAATTTTTTATGAGTACCTTTTCTGACACTGGGGATAAGTAGTACTTGTAAAATATAAATCAAAGTAGAACACAGTGTTTATCTTGATTCCTGAGATAAAGCAAGCACGTTATGTGACACATAAAGGATTGTGATTCCAATAACACTTCTACAATTTACTTAGTAGCCAAAAATCTACAAGCTCCTATTAATCCTAGATGCTTTTCTCTCTCTCTCGGTACTAGGGTTTGAACTGAGGACCTTGTGCTTTCCAAGCAGGTATTTATGCCTCTGAGCTACATATCTAGCCCCCAGGTCTTTAAACTTTCATCAATCTACTTTATGAAGTTAAAATAGTATTTCAGGTATAAGGTCATACGCCTATAATCTCAATACTTGGAAGGCTGAGGCAGAAGGATCAGGCTTGGAGGACTGTTTAGGCTACAGAGCAAGTTCAAGGACAGGCTATACCATAAGAACTTGTCTTAAAATTAAAGTTGATTGATTAACTGAACACCTCACTTCTCATTTCTTAACCGAAGTGGACTAGGAAACCCTCAGCAATATTTTAACAGGTCTAGACCAAAACTGAGATCAATAAGTTTCACAAATATACTGTAGCTAGTGCTTCAGTAGGTCAAAAACAACAAATTATATATAGAGAACAGTTGCAAAGATGGTATAACAAGACTTTGCAAACAATCACAGTAAATCTACAAATAGTCATAATACTCAATACTATATAATCAATTGGACAGGTTAAAGAAAGAACTATCACATAATCCAACAATTTTATTCCTAGGTATCTATTCGCAAAAGAAATTAAAATACATATATATAAAAACTTATACCAATGTTCATCTAACATTTCATGTAACAATTATAATAATCAAGTAAAAACTGACCAAACATCCATAAATTTCATGAATGAATAAAGTGTGGTATAGCTACACAATGGAATACTAGTTAGCAATGAAATAAAATATTGATACTGCCATGCTACTTCTATAAACCTTATGATTACATATTTTACTATTCTATTCATACAAAATTTCCACAATAGGCAAAGATAACACAAAGTAGGTAAGTGGTTTCCTAGGAATGGTCATTGATAGGAAACTGGGAATGAATGTTAGTGGGTTTACTTTCTTTCTGAAGTAGTGAAAAGGTAATTTGGGTAAGCTATTATTTTTTTACTTTTATTTTTATTACATTAAAAAGCATGAACTTCAAATAGGTGAACTGTCCAGTATATAAGCCATCCTCAGTATATTTCTGTGATTAGTACATTTCAAATGGATGACCTATATAAGAAATAAAATGACTGTTTATATGTGATGTATATACATTTTTAATTTGTTATGATGAAAGACACACTGTCATTAATCCTCCTCAAAACAGTCCTCTGATTTAGAATACATTTATCCCACTGTTCTTGCTACTTCCTGAGACAGTTCTGAAGTTTTCTTTTGTTTTTTTGGTTGCACTGTCATGTCTACCTGGGTGTCCCGAAACAAATCAAAATGTTTATTGCCCCTATCCATGTGACCGGTGAAGAGCAGAGTTACATGTGTGCAGTGTTTCTACGAGTCCATTTCTCCAACAGATCATACTTGGCAAGAGTACACATCTTATTTTTTATTACACTGCATTAAGACACTCATGAAAGAGGACTTCAAAAACTGCTTCAGAAAGTAAGAAGAACAACAGGATAAGCAAGTTCAAAGCAAGAAATATTTGAAGGGATTATTCACAATGTCTTTCAGTGTTAAAATTTTTTTTAATTTAAAAATTTAAATTTAATTCACCATATAATTTGACTACCCTTTGTATATGAATTATACCTCAATAAAGCTTTTATTAAAAATAACAATTTTGAACACCTGTGCTGGTACATTCTTACAATCCCAGCTACTCAGGGGGATAAGGCAAGAAGACAAGTTCAATACCAGACTGGGCAATTTAGTGAGACCCTGTTCCATAAACAAAAAGAGCTGGTGATGCAGCTCAGTGGTAGAATGTCCCTGAATTTAATCAACAGTACCACCCCACCCTACCACAAAAGAGCAAAAGAAAAATTCAACTAGGTGCTTTAAAAGTTGTAAGGGTTGGGGCCTGCCCCTTAGCTCAGTTGTTTTAAGAGGCTGCTTCAACAAAGCAGTCAGCCTCAGGTTACTGTGGTTCCATTCCCACAACTCCAGCCAGCCAAACATGCCCTGCAGGCATTCTGAGCCAGCCCCCCCCTCAAAAAAAAAAAATAAAAATAAAAAAAGATGTTGTAAAGGTTAATTAAAGCTATTAACAAGAAACAACAGAATTGTTATTATGCAAGTAAACAGTTTGCCATGCATATCAAGAAAAGCAAAATTCTTAATTGGCCCTTAACTTAAAAAAAAAATCAGTTATTTAAAAAAATATGTATATAATCAATTCTTGATAATCTTCTAAGAAAGAATGCATATTGTGGAACTATGTTACATAAAAAATTATGCACAAACATGCACATTAAAGTTTTAAAATTTTTGAAGTATTCATGTCACATTTATGAGTCTTAAGAATGAAATGTAGGGGCCAGGGAGATGGCTCAGTAAAATAAGTGCTTGCCTGGCAAGCGCAAGGGCCTGAGTTCAATCCCCAGTTCCACCAAAAAAAAAAAAAAAAAAACAATGAAATGTGAAAAAAATAATAATAATATTTTTTTTAAAGAATGAAACATACATAGGATTAAATTCAGGAAATTTTCGTAATAAACCTTTCTTATTTAGAGTGACTATACAAGCTCTCACATGAGTCAGCCAAATAATTTCACTTAAAAAAAAAAGACTTCTCCATAGTCATGTTTTTAAGAAGTGCATATACTTTGAATCATCCATTTTGTAGTCAGGAACCAATTCAATCAGAAATAAAACCAAGATATCTACTAATCAGTATTTTAAAAACAAAACCAAAAACAAAACATGGAACTCTAAAAACTTATTTTAAAAGCACTTTACCAGACATTTAACTGACTGGCATGAAAACATGTTTTCAGTAAAGTGATATCAATAGGCTAATCACAAGGACCGGCCAAATAGCTCAGCGGATTAAAGCACCTGCTTAGACAGACAGACCCAGGGGCTGGGAGTTCGATCGATCCCCAGGCCTGTGGTGCTGGCTCTGCCCCTGGGGCACACAGAAATGGCAACTGAGACAGGGTGTGGTGGCATGCACCTGTAATCCCAGCTCTTGGGAGGCTGTAAACAGGCAAATCACTACAAGTCCAATCTAGTAGTGAGACCCTGAACACCCTGTAGAACCTTCCCTAAAGTACAGAAAAAAAAAAAAAAAAGAATAGGCTAATCACAAATCTTCAATGAACACAAATGATTTGAGAAAAGAAAATGATATTATATCTTTCAAACATTTGCAAAAATAGGGAAATCATAAAAAGAAATTTCTAAACTACATTTGTACATAAAGCAAAAGTGATAACGATGTAAATTCAAAGAAAAAAACTAAAAAGACGCAGAAAAACTCCAACTCAGCAAAATTTGTCTTAAAATTCCATGGTGTACTTTCATACAATGTTTTATCCTAAAAAACTATGAAGAACTACCAAAATATATATAAAGATTCTGAATAATGTTACACTTCAAAACACCAAGAGAAAAACCTTCCCATGTGAAAAGTAATGATAGTAACAATTTTTACATGTCTGCTTTTCACAAATATTTTTGTCAACTACAAAAATAAAGAAATGAATGTATTTTACAACTAAACATACTAATTATGAAAAAAATAAAAAATAAAAGCCTTGCAAAGTCATTTATTAACCTTAAAACAAATTTAAGTTTATAAGACCAAAACCAAAAAAATCTCTTGAAGTATTCACACAAATATTTGGATATTATACATATTATATCCTTAAAATTGTGTGTAATAGGGGGCTGGGGAGACAGCTCAGTAGAATAAGCGCCTGCCTGGCAAGTGCAGGGTCCTGAGTTCAATTTCTAGTACCGCAAAATAAATAAATAAAATAAAATAGTAAGAAATTAAAAATGTTTCCCACAAGGAAATGACAATGTAGTTTCAGAAGTAATCAGAGCCCTTACTATTTATAATATGTATATCAAAACCAAAATAAGAACTACTACAAGCATGATACAGGCCACTGCTTTCTTTATAGATATCTAAAATCAAATAACTGAAAAATCAAAATGACTTACATTGTTGTTGCGAGTTTCTACAGCAGGAAATTTTCTGACTATGAATTTCACAGCAGATTCCAAGTTTTTGTCAATAAGGTATGATGGTTTGGCCTTAGGATCTCCACAAGCCTAAAAAAAAAAAAAGTAATAAAAAAGTGAAATAAATCCTCCTTCCAAAATGAAAAGCAGCAAATCTGTAATCAGAAATTAGAGAGGTATTTATTGTTTTTGGTGAGCAGGTGATAAAATGAATAGGCAAAGTGCAGGGATTGTCACAGCTGAAATATGCAATGGGAGACAGTACAGAGATGTTCTTCTACTGAAAAAAATGCATGGAAAGTTTCAAAGCAGTTAGCGCAGAACAGCAGTGAAGGAAAAAGCTCAAACCTAAAGGAAAATAATAATAAAGAAAAGAAAAAGAAGAAAAGAAAAAAATTTTTGGTTTGAGGTAGAATTGTATTCATCTGAAGCTAGTAAAATACTATAAGATTAAATATTAAAAACAGTACTGGATATGTTTCTTTCTAGGTGTTATAAAATAAAAGCTTATGTTTGAATGTCTTTTCCAAAATGTTTTCCTCATTCACTTTAAACATTTTAATACAAGATCCCTAGTTCAAAAGAACTGGAAGTTGTTAAAGTTTTTATAATGTTAAAATGTGTTGTCTGTTCCTCTGAACATCTGAGTTACAACACTGTTTTCCATCATACCAGTAGCACTTCAAACGATGAACCTACATCTGTTCTATACCTCACAAGCAGAGAACAAGTGAAATGTTTATATCTGACCACATCAGCAGTGCAGCATTCCCTGTAATGGACTATAAAGCACTACACAAATGTAAGGTATTATTAGAAAAAACTTTTGACCTGAAGTATCAGCAATACAGAGTATAAATTTTAATACTGTTCACTTTTGTTACGTGACATTTAATTAACTGCTTGCTAGTGAGATGTTATTTCTTAGGGAATTATTAAAATTATTCCACTCCTATTTATTTTTATGCTATTTTTTGCAAGGATGTGTCCTTTCTGGTGCCTCTGTGTGAGGAAATGCAGTACTGCAGTTTAATGGGTCGCTTTCACTCTTTTCTATGGCTATGTTGTGGATTACAGAAAGAGAAGTCATGAGCATGAAACTGATCTGAAGCGGGCAGGCGGGCAAAGGGAAGGTGAAAAGCTTTGCAAACCTTCCAAACTTGTCCTTGCTGGGGAAGCGTTGTAATAGAAAGAGAAAGAATTACGTGTCAACAATAATTGTCAAACTATGACATACTTCTCAGTAGAAAACTTATGCACTGCACACTAAGAATAACAAAACAAGATTAAAACTACATGGTGCTACAATTTTAAAAGTACTCTAAGTTGCGAGTTTTAGTATACAACAATATAGTTTATACTACTCAAAGCTGAATACTGCTGTGTAAGTGTACAACCATGTCAGTTTCGTGGTGACTTAAATAATACTAGAAAGAAAGAAAAATAAGGACTACATGCAGCTACAGAAACAGGAGCAAAACCATCAGTGAAAGTTTACATACCTTAAAAAGAAACGGTAGCCAAGAATAAAAATAAATTGTTATTGGATGACTTTTGCACTTCAACTCAAATTGAAACTTTTTTCAAATATCACCTAGCTTCCAAGCCAGAATATAAAATCAAAGTAAACATTCCTATATTTTATAAATATAAATAGGAATGCAGTGGGAGGAAAAACCCTCATAATTCTCATAAATAATTAGATAAATTTTTTTAAATTTACAAATCATAGTCCTTAACCAGATCGATACAAAGCTAGAATGTTAATGCCATTTCAACATCATAATAACATACATTTGACTGTTCTTCAGAATGGACTATCATTTAAAATGTTATTTCTTAACCTTACAATTTGTTCTTCCAAACTATAATTAGTAATTAAGAATCACAAAACTAAGAATTTGTTCAAAATAAACTGCTTCATATTAACATTTCCTTACATCAGTGGCATAATGAAAACCAAGCCTCATAAACATGTCTGGATAACACAGAAACCTAAAGCAACTTCAAATTATGTTCAGATTTTTGAGAAAATATACACTGTTTCTTGTTTTGATTATTTAAAACTTCAGCTACATATCCTAACGTTATTAGTAACTATCAAATATGAACATACACTGGGCTATGATAACCAATTCCCGCAATGACAGTGTAAAATCTGTGTAAATTGTGTAAAAACTTACCTACCTACAGTGTCTCTGTGTGTGTGTGTGTGTGTGTGTGTGTGTGTGTAGATCTTCTTACACTGAAAATAAAATTTCATTTCAATGGGATAATAAAAAGGTATGTAGAATCTCCTTTCCTTGGAACTGGTTCACCTTTTTCCATACAGCCCAATGGGTCTTACCTAAACGTCCTACACCAAGAGGCTGTACTCCAGAAAGGTTAAAAACAGACTGTGGAATAAAATTAGGGGGGTTTCAATCTTCACTACTTACTAATCATGGGACTTTGGATATATTATATAACATCTTAGTTTATTTGGAAAATAGGGGGGTGTTAATAGTTACCTCATGAGAATTTAAAAAGGCAAAAAAATGGCACATCGGGGCCGGGGAGATGGCTCAGTAGAATAAGCGCTTGCCTGGCAAGCTCAAGGGCCTGAGTTCAATCCCCAGTTCCGAAAAAAAAATTGTCTCTCAAAAAAATGGCACATTAAATGCTCTAAAAATGTTAGGTGCTACTAATAGGTATAATGATAACAGTCAAATAAAAGGCTAATATGAATAATCAGAGTACGAAAATGGTCTTTATCATAGTACAGTATACTGACCTAGCAATTAAGTATGAACTTGCTTATATGACTAAGATCCCCCTCTCAATCACACATAGTATTTTCATTTACCTTGAGTCTAAACCACTGCATTGTTTTATTGTAAATAAGAGTTTAGCCTTATAGCTATTAACACAGGGCTTTTTGAGACTGGGGCTGATTTGGATTTTTCTTGCTCTGGATCAAAATTAAAGGTTTATACATGGTAAGCAAATTCTCTATCAATGGGCTAAACCCCCAGTCATAAAAACGTGAGTTTTTAAAGTTAGGTTATCCATGTCCAAATCTTGGCTCCATCATTTATTTTATTATTATTTTTAATTTATTTATTTATTTATTTGTGTGTGTGTGTGTGTGTGTGTGTGGCCAGCTCAGCCCACCAGGGGGCGGGGCTGGCTGGCATGTGGTGCTGGGGGATTGAACCGCGGTCCCTGAGCTTTGCCAAGCCTGTTCTAAGTAGGTGCTTTAGACCACTGAGCCATCTCACCAGCCCGGCTCCATCATTTATAAACATGAATGACTGACATTTTTTTTAACTTCTCTGTATCTTGTCTTCATTGATTTATCTGGAGAAAATAACTACAACCTACCTTAAAAAGTTCTGCACTCACTATGAGAAACTAAAGTATTTCGTACATCATGAGCACTCAAAAAATGCAAGACTCATACAAACGATATAGATGTGTTGGGCATTTTATTTTTTCTAAAAGCAACTCTTGATTTATGAAGAATGTTCAGGCAGGAAAAAAAAAGAAGAAACGAAAAAACTATATTGTGACTAAAAATTACTGTCCAGGGAATATATTTCCTGATGAAGAGCTTTAATTATTCAATTGGGAAGGGGTTTGTTGTTGTTGTTGTTTTTAACTACTCTAAACCATGGGACCAAAGTTTTAACAAACCAGAAGTCTACCTGTAAAAAGTTCAATGTTTCCTACTCCAACAAAAAAAATTTAATTTGAGGACAAACTGTATGATAATTCAGGTCGTCAGAACACAGCCTGTTGTTAGTACAACCTGAAATTGTAACTCAACCTATACCTTAACTATAACATCATACAAAATTATCTCACTATTAAATTGTCATCCTTGAGGATGAACTACAAAAATTTTAAAAACTACATAAACTTAGTTACTAATATATTTTACACAAATACAGTTCAGAAAGTCTTACCACAAAGACCACAAAGACTGAATCAAAGTATTTAACAGATTTTGAGTTAATAGTGAAAATTTCTATATCTTCTGACCCTCTCCCAAAAGGTGATTACAAAATTACATTTAAGTCCCTCAAGCTTGTATCCACCAGAAATTTATAGCAGAACCAAAACTGAAGAGGTTGGTTATTCACTACACAGAAACAAAACTATGCATGAACTAAAGAACGTAAAGTGTTCCCATCTATTTCAAATCAGTGTATTTCAATAATGCATAAAATACTACTCTCAAATTGCTGCAGATCTAAAATGAAAATATTTATACAAATTTCTAATTCTCAGAACTGGAACTGTATTTTCCATATATAGTCTACTTATACCCTTTAATAAAATTTAAAAAAGGTTAGCATTATTTAATGTGGTAGATAAAATTATAGTACTTTTAGGGAAAACATTTATACACAATAACTAAAAATTTTGTTTTGAGTCAAGTAGATCACATCTTATAAGATCTTAAACTGACTTCTAAGCTTTACTGTTACAGCTTGTGTCTAAATCCCCTGTAAAGCTTCATGGGGTCAAAGGTGGGGCTTTTGCAGAGGTGCTAGGTCTGGAATGTGTGAGGCTGGAGTGATTCATGATACAATGTGAGGCTCAAGGGTACTAGGATTAAGGGTGAGAGTGCTAGCCGCCCTAAGTGGTATAGATAACATGTAAGGGATAAAAACAGCTATAGTGTCCCTTACTGCTTTTCTACCTTCTGCCTGATGTGAATTATTTCTTCTCTGTAGTTCAGGTCTACCATGTCACTCTGCCTTGGAGCCAGCCAACTATGGACTGAAACCACTATAAACTATGAGCTAAATAAACCTTTCCTCCTTTAACTTTGGATGTAGGATATTTTCACTCAGCAACAAGAAAAGTAAGACACACCACTTCCAAATCTATAAACTAAGGATATCATTACGTTTTTAAAAAACAGAATACAAATAAAGTGTTTATTTCAGTGCCTGGCAAATAAGTAACAGCAAGTTCTAAATAATTATGCTCTCTTCTCTTAACGAAATGTTGGGCTGGCCAAATAGCTCAGTGGGTTAAAGTGCCTGCAAGCATGCACAGGGCCCAGGGGTTCGATCCCCCGGTGTGTCGTGCTGGCCCTGCCCCTGGGGCTCGCTGAGATGGCGATTGAGACTGGGTGTGGTGGCACGCGCCTATAAGCCCAGCTCTTGGGAGGCTGACCACAGGTGGATCACTACGAGTCCAATCTACGTAGTGAGACCCTGTAGACCCTACAGACACTGTACTAAATACAAAAAAAAAAGTAGTTCTATAGAAGACAATGTAGAATACACTTCTGAAATACAAGTCATTATTTTGTATTGAAAGTAAATATCAAACTATAACATCAGGCAGGAATAGTTCAAGAAATGCTTCCTAATGGTCTTCAGCTTGATTTAGAAGAAAAATATACATTAAGTGTTCATTTTGTTCCACGCCCCAGAAATAGCACTAATAACGATAGCCATTTACTTACTTCTTACTCTTTTACCAGGCACTGTACTAATACATGAATTAACTCAACATTTAACCTGTCAAGTTAATAGAAGTATTTCATGATGTGGGAGCGGTGGAATACTAGCATTGCTTAGCCAAAACACAGCTTGAAGCGTAAGAGGAGCTGACAGCAAGCAAGTACCACAAAGTTGGTCTTGTGAAGGAAGACAGCCTATGTGCAGGCCTCCAGAAATTCACATACAACCCAGACAATAAAATGTAAACATCACAGGGAATTAAAGAGAAAGAAAACAGAGTTTTAAAGAAATAACTGTTCGTTAATTTATTTTTTATTTTTATTTTTTTAAGACTTGCAATGTAATTCTATGTCCCACAGCCTGGCCTTGAACTCACAGTGATCCTCTGCCTCAGCCTCCCAAGGGCTGGGATTATAGACATGCATTACCATGTCTGGTTACACAGTTCAATGGTTCTTAACATCAAAAGTACTTCAGGGGCTGGAGAGATGGCTCGGTGGTCTAAGGCACCTACTTGGAGCAGGCTTGGCAAAGCATCAGGGACCGCGGTTCGGTCCCCCAGCACCACATGCCAGCCAGCCCCGCCCCCTGGTGGGCTGAGCTGGCCACACACACACACCACACTCTCTCTCTCTCTCAAAAAAAAAAAAAAAAAAAAAAAAAAGTACTTCATGGACATTATTATTATTATTTCAGTAAAAACCTTC